GATTGCCTAATCCCAACCCCACCCCTAATCCTAACCCCTCCCCCACACCTACTCCTAAACCTACCAATACTAGGGGGTGCATAATTTGGCAGCGTGCAAATTTCGGCACTACACCGGCAGTGGTTATATGTTTACAGCTATGCATATCCATTCTCTGAAAGATGCTGGGCAACAACAGACCCCCTATGGCCAGCTAAAACCATAATGCATGCCTAAACGACTAGTTGGCCTCTGGTCTCTCTAAATGAGCCCGATATATTCCCAGATTTTTTTTTAACAGAGATTTTGCTCCTTGCCACTGTCACCCTTTGCCTTGCTCAGTTGGGATCTTTAATATTCAGACAATTACAGGACAGATTTCAGTATGTAATGGCGCTTTTCCACTGCGTGGTATGACTCTGCTCTGCTCGGTTTGCGTTTCCACTGCAGTTCAGTACCGCTTTAGAGTGGGCGGGATTATTCACATGTCGTTATAGTTGCGCCGCCTCTACTGCCGCGACTAGGGATGGGCGATACTTCTTATTTTATTTTCGATCTGATACCGATATTTTCAAGTCCAGTATCATCGATACCGGTACCTATAAACTAAATTGATATTTTAAATTATTAAAAGAATATAATCAGTAATTATACTCACTTAATATTAGATTTTAAAGCCACGTTTTTTGTTTTTTTTTACATTACATTTTTTTGTTTGTTTAATTTGTTTAAAATATCCTATAATTGTATTTTAGCCCTTTACTGGTGCAGTAACCTCAAAGGTGCAACTATACCTCTAAAAGGGAGCATATTAGTACCATACAAGTATGTATGCTTTTAGGGTAGATAAGTTACAAAGGTGTTTTTTTCTGACAGATTTATTAACAGCAATTACAGAACAGAACACAATCCATTTGAACTTTTAACAATCAGTTTAAAATAAATATTACATGTACACAAAAGTTTGGGGTCAGTAAGATTTTGTAATATTTTAAGTCTCATGCTCATGAAGGCTGCAATTATTTGAACAAAAACAAACAAACAGTAAAAGCAGCAATATTATGAAATATAACAATTAAAAATAACTATTTTCTATTTTAATATAGTTTAAAATGTAATTTAAAATGCATCTGTGATCAAAGCTGAATTTTCAGCATCATTACTCCAGTCTTCAGTGTCACATGATCCTTCAGAAATCATTCTATTTGCTGCTCAAGAAGCATTTATTATTATTGCTGCTTTATATTTGTGTGGAAACCGCCATGCATTTTTCGGAATTAATTTTATATATCGTAACAATGTAATGTAATGTAATAATGTGGCAATGGTTTCTATAGATCTACTTATGCTTCTGATGCTTTTGGGAAACGCAGCCCTATTTGAACAAGCACTGTGAGCCATGCTTCAGCAGCGAACGCTGTCTGTGATTGATTGGTTCTGTCTTTCAGCATTTGCGTGTGTTCCGATGAGCAGGAGAAATGGTTCTATCCAACACAATTATTCGCTAATATAGTCTATTTTTCCACTTAGAAGCTTATTTTATGCACTGAATTTCTTGGTAAATAAATAAAATTAATGGTTAAAAAAATGCACTTTAGAATCGATATTTTTATGTGAGGATCGATCCTTTCAATACAACATCAGTATCGAAAGTATCGATACTTAAGGATTGATCCGCCCATCCCTTGCCGCGACTCCTAAAAAACCTTGGAACCTCAACCGAGGTGGTACTAAAAAAAGTACCAGGTACCAGGTACTGTACCCAGTGGAAAACCCCCCAAATGTGAACCGTACCATGCCGTACCATGCAGTGGAAAAGCGCCATAAATGTTCCTGATTAAATTGGTACAGAAAGACAGTGAATGTTGTTGTTTTTTTTTCACAAAGACCTGTTGTCGATTTTGTGACACAGATTTAATGACCACAGTAACCACAATTTATAGCGAGGCAGATCATTGATAGACAGGTTTGCGTGTGATTGTCCTGGAACATCATGCATGTGAACTGCTTTCTGTGTGTAGGTGTGTTGTGGAATCTGTCTTCGTGTGATGCAGTGAAGATGACAATAATCCGCGATGCCTTAAGCAGCGTGACCAACACTGTGATCATCCCTCACTCGGGCTGGAGCAGCACTGACTTTCACGATGAGCACAAACTCAAGCTGCACTCCTCTGTCGTGCTCCGCAACACCACCGGCTGTCTCAGGTAACAGCAGCACATCACAGCACCACTTCATGGACGAGAAGTACAGTATGGAGTTCACAAAGCGTTATTTATAAATGTGTAACTTAATTCACATTCACTAAATGATTGGTTTATCTGAACTGATGAAGAGGAATAAAGTGGTATGTAAAAAAAAAAAAAAACATACAAAAATACAGTATTATAAATGACCTTTTTTGTTCATTTTATTATCAATAAAAAAAATGTAGATCTGATGAGATCTAGAAGAAAGTCAGCATATTGGATTGGAGGCCCCTTTTCCTATTCTTAGTTTATGTATATATACTTACAGCCATGTTTCAGCAACTGTATCCATCATGAAAGTGAATGAGGATCAGGGGCTTTCAAGTTCCAAAATTACAAAAATGCATGATAGCATATCAGTATGAAAGCATCATAAAAGTAGTCCATACAAGTTATGTACTATATTCCAAGTACGTCTGAAGCTAGAAAATGTATTTAAAAAATGTTTAAATAATTACATTACAAAAGTAGCTGGACCCTTTCCTGTGACACTTACAATTTAGCTCATGAGCATTTTCATTTATCTGAATCATCTTCAAGATGGCTGGAGTTAACCTGTGACAGATTAAGTTTGTTGGACTTGATTTGGAAAGGCACACACCTGTCTATTATATAGTCTGGCAGAATAACCCTGTGGATCATGCCAGCTAGGGGTTGTAAACCCACACCCTCACTGCTTAATCAAACTGTAACCAATCAAATCAAAACTAACATCAAAAGAAGGGCCCAAACAAAACTCCCTAGCGCCTCTGATGGGTCTAAAGCAGCGGTTCTTAATCCTGGTCCTCCCCGCTCTGCACATTTTGTATGTTTCTCTTGCCACTTCAGAGTAGGGATGTCAGTGATTAATCGATGATCGATTAATTGACGATTAGAGATATAATCGTTTAAAGCTGTCGATGGTCGATTAAGCATTTTAATTTTGGGGTGTGTGCGGCTCATGCAAGTAGGTATAACTGCAGACCGGAGATCTCTTTAAAATGGGGCGTGAACTAGAGGTCTTCTCCGGCCTAAAATCTGTACTCGACCCGAATCACTTCTTACCCTAACCCGACGTGCATAAATAAATTTTTTTGAAAGAAAAACCCGACCCGAGACAGACATGAAATTAAGCCGCCTTTCCACTGCACACGACAAACGACAGCCGTTGGACCGGAAGTCATTCATTTCCTGCGAATGCGGAATTTTCGGATCCGATTTGAGCTTTGGATGCGTTCAAATATTTGAACTTGAGCGACTACACCGTATGCGACACGCAGAGACCGGGTGTGATGTATTCCAAAGTTGTCCAATCAAATCAGTGTGCGCAAGTTGAGAATTATAATTCTTTTTGTTTATCACGCTTTAAGCGGCCTTTCCACTGCACACGACATTCGGACACGACTGTCGGAATTCGCCCCCTAGTGGCAGTCGCACGGAAATTTCATTATGATCGTACACGGCAACATGGGAGAGAAGCTTATCCTCGCGGTCTCAGAAAACCCCATTCTGTATGATACTTCTCTAGAATCATACAGAGACTTTAATAGGAAAAATGAGGCTTGGAAGAGAGTTAGCGAGATTGTCGGTTTGTCAGGTGTGATTTGTTTGCCAAATTTGCTGAATGTATGCAAATCCTTGTCGTGCCTTAATTAGCATCTAGCCTAGTATTCCCATGTATAACAATAAACAGCTATGCATATAGGACAAATGACCGCCAATAATTTTGGAGGGAAAATAAAGACAACATTAAAAATAATAAAATATAAAATTTAAATGAATAATTTATTATTCACCAATAATCATGCATTTTTTAAAAGTTTTAAAACAAAATAAAATGTGATAAACAAAAAGAATTATAATTCTCAACTTGCGCACACTGATTTGATTGGACAACTTTGGAATACATCACATCCGGTCTGCGTGTCGCATACGATGTAGTCGCTCAAGTTCAAATATTTGAACGCATCCGAAGCTCAAATCGGATCCGAAAATTCCGCATTCGCAGATGGTCGACACCACACGCAGCCCCTGTACAACTCTCCATTGGAAATGAATGACTTCCGGTCCAACGGCTGTTGTTTGTCGTGTGCAGTGGAAAGGTGGCTTTAGACCCGAGTCCGACACGACCCGACGGCATTTATTTTCGAACCCGACTGGACCCGAACGTAAACGGCATTGACGT